TAGACTCTTTATTTCAGAGTTTCTGTCAAAAATTTGAACAGGTGCCACTGCAAACACATGAATTATGTTTCCCACAAGCACAGAAAGATCACCAGGACGCGCTCAAGGGATGTCCCAGCCAGGGGGTGCAAAGAGCGAAGTGGCAGGAAATCACAGTTCCAAATGCAGCAGCAACTTCTTGTTTCCAGGCCTCCCGCTAAAGGAAGCAGGCCTGCCATCATCCAGTTCTGCAATCCTGCCCACCCCTCGAGCTCCAAACTGCCTGTCCCCTAGGTCCCCAGAAGAGGGAGGAGACTTGGCTCATTTCACAGTCATAGGGGTGAAGGAGCCACGGCGCCCTACCCTAGCAGAGGGAGGGTTTCTCCTTAGATAGGGAAGACCAGGGGAGGCAGAGAGCAATCACTCCTAGCAGGAAGGCACAAATCATTTCCAGGCCAGACTGGGAGATAAAGGCAAAGGAAACCAGCCAGGGCTTAGGAGAGGTGGGTGGAAAAAGAGACCAGATTGGGTACTGGTGGGAAGGAGGGACTCATTCTCTCCAGTTCCCCCCCCCCCCCCAAGAATGCCTATGGATAGCTGGAGACCCAGTGGGGTCATGACAGTTGAAGAGGCACTCGCTGATCAGAGGGTGGATTTTTAGCCCAACTGTTTAACAGGCCAGAAGAAACAATTCTAAGCATCCAGCTTGGGCTCTCCCTTGTCCATGTGTACCCCTGGCTGGAAGATCTCACCTAGTTTTTCTGCTAGTCGAGTGGGAGCATTGCTTGGAGAGACAAGCCTTGTCTGAATTCAAAGGCCTCAGATAGCAGGGAGATTTCCAGACACACCAGGAACCCAGCCTTCTAGACTTTCCATAAGGATCAGGGCCCATGCTTCCTAATTTATCCAGTGCTTAGGTCTGGATTGCCAGAAGCACTGAGTCCCCCCACTCTGATGTCCATTGTCTAGGGGAGCTCAGAGATTCTGGGAATCCCGTGCCTACCTTGCGCAACAAAGCCCTCAGTGTGAGAAGGGCAGTAAGAGAACTGCCTGCCTCAGGCAGGAAATTCTTAATGCAAGCAAAATATTCCCATGCCTTGGGAACCTGAGCCTATCCCCATCCTGTCCAGCTAAGTTGCAGCTTCCCTGTGGGGGTGGAACTATCTGCAAAGCAGGAGGCAGAGAGATGGGGTCATCACTGGGGTATGGATGCACCAGGAACCCAGCCACAGGGTCTGCTAACAGTGCAGCTGTAGGAAAGGGGTAAGGAATATACCACCCCACACGAGGGCAGCTCCAGGAAATGAGGGGCAGCAAAGAGAGAAGGTTGATGAATCAGAGGCAAGAGGGAGAAAAGCAAGTCAAACATGCCCCCACTTGTGCATCAGCCCAAATGCTCCTCCCTCATGATGCCTATGTCCTGGTAACCTAAATACCCTTCCCCCAATACCCAGCATCCACAGTGCTGCTCCTCCCCTGCACAGGTGCAGGTCATAGGCCAGTTTTCCCAGCCTGGCTTCATGGCTGATGCACTCCAGCAGCTCCAGCATCCCCCAGTGGTTGGAGGAGTCAGCAGGGATTGCCCCAGAGACTTGGGTGGGGGCTGGTCAAACTGTCACATTAGTACAACAACATTAGTACTGATCTAGACTGCAGCATCCCCACCCAAGACCCAGAGTCCCAATCCCTGCCCCATCCATCAGGAGCCCAGAGTCTGCCCTGTCCCACCCCCACCCCTGCCCTATGCAGAGCCCCTTGTCCAGTCCCATCCCATGTCCTTCCATCGGTCCCATGGATTAAATAGGTGGGCAGTGCTCCTCCGGCAGCCCCTCCAGGAGCGAGCCCCCAGGCCTCTATTGCTTCTTCTTGAAGAAGCTGAATCTCTTTTCTCGGTCCTTCTCCTTGCCGTCCTTGCTGCGCAGGGCCACGGGACCCTCGAGGCCACTGTTGGGGGACACAGGTGGCATGCTCATGGCCCGCGTCATGCCCTTGCCGGTGAGAGAGGGTGGGTCCTCCATGTCCTGCTGGGGTGTTGGGGCACAGGCCACTGAGGCATTGATTATCCGCATCCAGGTGCTCATCTCAGCCTGGGGGAAAGAGAAGAAACTGTTGGCCATGGGTTGGCACAGGGAACTGGAGCACAGAGAGGGCAGGGCACTGGCTCTGGAAGGAGGCAGGGCACCATGAGGGCAAGGCAGAGGTGTGGGACTTTGAGGCACAGACAAAGTGTATCGGGGAGGGAATAGCTGGGCAGAGCTCTGGGGTGGGGCCCAGGATTCAGGGCTGACGAGGCAAAGGGACTGGGAGATGGTGGAGCACAGGAAGTGTAGGACTCGGAATGGGAAAGGCCGGGGATATGTGGGGAAGCTCTAAGGCTGGAATAGGGCAAGGCAGACCGATTGTGAGCATGGCAGAAAGGCTTCCCATAACTCAGGTATTTGGCTACTGGCTCCAAGTACATGGAGGAGAGGCTAGCCCTCTCTGCTCCCTCCAGGTGTCCCCCACATTACAGCATGGCAGACTTGGATCCCGCAGTGGGCGGTGACAGGCAAGCAAACACACATAAACTTAGGACCGCTAGGAGGGGCCACAAGGAGCTGAGAGGCTGTTGTGCAGGGGTGCCCTCCTGTGGACAGGGCATGCAGCGCCCTGGTGCATAAGGGACTCACCTCGTCCTTGGCCTGGAATAAATACTCTTTGCCATCGCTCAGCCTGCAGGGAGAAAAATAACACGTTATGTCACCTCCCCATATAGCTGAGCCAAACCCTACCTTGTGCCCTGTTCCCTCCAGCCTTTCCCCTCCACCAGGTCCCCTCCTGCTCACACGGACACCAACCGCACCACTGCGTTCCCTTCTCCCCTGCACCCGTGGGCTGCAGACCCTCCCTCTCCCCTCACCCCCGTGTGCCTGCCACAGAGGCTGCTCCTACCCCAGCTTGAAGACATGCTTGCGTTTCTTATAGTCCAGTGCCACGTTGCACTGTGCCCCCTGCAGGCTGACGGGCACCTCGCCATGGTAGGGGAATCCATGGCTGGCATTCTTAGCGTCTTTGTAGAAGCCCAGGCTGCCTTTGCGCAGGACACAGTAAACGTTCTGCCAGGACCTTGGGAGGAAGCAGAGTTGTCACAACAACCAGGGGGAAATGGCAGAGCACAGAGCCGTCACCACAAGGGAGCCAGGGGTAGGACAGAACGCCAGTGCAGGCAGGAGGGCTGGAGTACGTAGCCATCAGTGACACCATCCAGGGCCCTGAACAACATGATACAGCCTCAGAGCTCAACTTCCAAGGCCCTGACCACCACAGTGGCAGGTTGTCTTCAGACTTCCCCAGTGCAGGCAGGGGCAGGGCTTCTCTCACCTGTTGGCTGCTTTCTTGCCCTGTGCCTCCATCTCCTGCTTGCGATACAGTGCCCCCTCCATTTGCTCCTGGGCAGTGGGGTCTGGTGACCGAAGTGGCAGCGTGGCTGAGT